AGAAAACACTTCATTGAATACCTACTATATCTAAAAAGCCGTGCACTGATCTCTGCTGGGTGCTTTGCTTGACTATCCCATTTAGTCATCCATGCAGCCCTAGAGATCAGAATTCTTTGTCCCCACTATAAAATAAGGAAATGGAAACTAAGAAGTTTAAGTGATTTGAATAAGAAGCAAAACTATGGTGGCTCATGCCTGTAATCCTAGCACTCTGGGAGGCCGAGGCAGGCGGATTGCTTGAGGTCAGGAGTTCAAAACCAGCCTGAGCAAGACTCCGTCTCTACTATAAATAGAAAGAAATTAATTGGCCAACTAATATATATAGAAAAAATTAGCCAGGCATGGTGGCACATGCCTGTAGTCCCAGCTACTTGGGAGGCTGAGGCAGGAGGATTGCTTGAGCCCAGGAGTTTAAGGTTGCTGTGAGCTAGGCTGACACCATGGCACTCACTGTAGCCTGGGCAACAAAGCGAGACTCTGTCTCCAAAAAAAAAAAAAAAAGAAGCAAAACTACTGAATTATGATGATTTGAACTCTGAAAGAAATATTTTGCAACTTAGGCATAAAAGATTCAGATGGTAGAAATAGAAGACATGCTAGTGATCCTGTACTCCAGACCAGAGGTTTACAAACTGTGACAAACAGAGTTAAATCAGAAGCTACCATTGGTTGTAAATCTGGGACTTGGGAGACAGTCTCAATCCTGCATCAACCAAAGCTGCCCTATCTTTACCTGTGTTATATATTGGGTTTCTTCATACAATTTTGTTTGAAGAAAAATTACACAATATAATCATAAGATTTATTCTAGGGAAAATTTAAACACAGACTTTATACCACAAAGATGGATTCAGAAAGTTTATGTATTTTTTTTTAATTTCCCACATGATTCTGATAGTTAGCCAGATTTGCAAACCATGAATCTATATAAATACTTTTTTTATATGTAAGGAAACAGCTTCAGAGAGTTATGAGACCTGCCCAGAGCCCTTCATTACTAGAATTGGAGTTCAAGTTGCCTCTCAATTTGTCTTTCAGTAGTACTCTGTTAACTATCTGTGCATGGTTGGTCCTCTCTCCTTTATGTCTTTTTTATATTATTGTATATTGTTATTATACATTAATTGCATACAAGCCTGTACATAGGCATCACTTTATATATATATACACATATGTATGTATATACACACACACAAGAAATTACCATTGTTTTAACTTTGCAACTTTCATTAATGACTTGTAGCTATTGTGATTTTTCTTTGTTTTCTTCTTTTTTTTTGCTTCTAAGTATAATTCCCACCATTCTCATATAAGCAAAGTCTATCTGAATATATTTTTCTTAAAATGTAACACAATTCTAAAAATGTTCATTCTAAAGTAGATGCTAGTTTTAAAAAGTGCCGTGTGGACATTCTACAAAATAATGAGATGCACTCTTTAAAATTGTCAAGGTTAAGAGTTGCAAACAAGGGCTACAAACTGTTGCAGATTAAAAGAGAGTAGAGACTCATGAAAATAATATTCATTGTGTGAATTCTTGCTATGGTCTGAATGTGTTAGAAGCTGAATTCTCAGTGCAACAGTGTTGGAAGGTTGTGGGGCCTTTTGGGATTTATTTAGGTGGGTTAATGCTTGCAGGAGTGGGTTCACTCTTTCTTGCCCTTCCACTTTCTCCCATGTGAGAATGCAGCAGGAAGGTCCATGCCAGGTGCCAGCACCTTGATCTTGGATTTCCCAACTCAGAATTATGAGAAATAAATTTTTGTTCTTTATAAATTACCTAGTCTCAGATATTCTGTTATAGCAGTGCAAACAGATGAAGACAAACCTGGACTGGATCCTAGATGGGATAAAAATATATTATTGGGACAGTTGATAAATTTTAATATGGACTGCATAATAGCATTACATCAATATTAGTTTTAAAATTTTTGATACTTATCCTGAGACCAGGAGTTCAAGGTTACAATGAGCTATGATCATACCATTGTACCCCAACCTGGGTGACAGAGCAAGACCTTGTCTCTTTAAAAAAAAAAAAAAAAAATCAGTTATCCCCAAAAAATGTGCTATATGAAAGAAGTTCATAGAGAATGAGTTCAGTTGATTACTGTCTCAATTGCTTGCCTAATTTAAAGCTTCAAACTATTTAAAAAACCTGACTGGGAGAAATATGTAGTAACATTATTCTCCTGAATCATTTGCTTTGTAGTGACATATTTCTCATCCCAAATAGTTCTAGATTCCCATTTTGAAACACAAAGACATATTTACCAAAAACATAGTTTACTTTAGCAATATCATCAAATGTTTCCTTTCTACTCTTAGAAAAAAAGGAAACACCTACTAATTTTTTACTGTCTCTTTTGCTAGTCTTGATATCGCCAAAATGTCCAGTCATCCTTTGTTGTTATTTATGGTAGCATGAATTAAGGTAATAGCATATATACTTGGCTTTTCTGGAAATATTTTTTACTTTTCGTTTTTTAATAACCAAAGCAGTCTTCTGTAGAGCTTTTCTACATAGTAACGCTAGCTATCAGAAATTCTTCCCAAAACATTAATTTTGGCAGTATGTTCTACCATCTACAAAATTATCCAAGCTATGAAAATACTTATTGACTAGTTATATGGCACGTGCTAGGCTAGGTACTGGGGACATAGTGATGAATAAGATAGAAACTTTAATTAATATTTCCAGAGGAACTACTGTCCCATTCTAAGAATCCCTCTCATTATAATTGTGTTGTTAGTGGAAGTCAAAAAGCAAAAAAAAAGCTAGTGTATATATTGTTCTATTGAGGGATATGACAGCCCTACATTCTCTTCTTTAGTTGTCTAAATTTAGTTAGTGATACCTTTATGTTGTACATTAAAAGTAGCCTCAGCTTCTAAACCAGAGAATCAATGCTGCCTGCCTGCCTATTCAGGGGTCTGATGGTGATTTATGAGGTTTATTCACAAAGTGTTTGAATAGAGCTTATGTTCTCCAGCTTGTTATACAACTCATAAACTCCAACTATCCTTTTGTTGTAATAGGGTTGGTCTTTGGATTGTGTGCCATATTATATTTGCTCCCCCTTTTTTCCTTGCTTTTTCCTTGACGTGTGTGTTTGAGCTAATTGCTCCCATGTTTAGATATTGTTTGGGTCTCTGTGTTTTGTTTATTGAGCCATGACTTGTTTCTTCTGATGTTTCATAGTTATATAAAGGTGATTCTGGCTTAAGGAAAAACCTTACGATAAGGAACTTTTACTCTTACACCACTACTCTTTCATTTTTTGACTCAGTGCTAAGTAGGAGGAAGATTCTGAGAATATTAAAATATTTCAAAGAAACATATAATAAGAATATGAAGAGAACTATACCGGAAATGTTTTCAAATATTCTAAGAAAGATTGAATACAGTAAAACCTTGGCAATCTAGAACTTACAAAGAGTGAATCATTCCAGATAGCTGAGGGTTTATCCTTTTGAATATTAACATTTAAAAAAATCTTCCCAAAGTACTAATCCCATGCTTCTACAGTATTCTTTATGTAGCTTAATCTTCTATTTATAGGTGAGTGGTACCATTATTATGAAAACCAATTATTGTATTAACACTGTGATCACAACTGTGTAAAAAAGTATATATAGATGCAAAAAAGATTTGACAGAAAAATCAAATCAATGAAAGCATTTTTTAGGTTAATAGTATTAACCTATTACAAAGTGATATCATTTTCCAAAATTGATTTAAACTATGACACAGTGGTTCAGATGTTTGTTTAGGACATTTTACTGGGTTGTCTTTAGAATTGGTAGTATGTTTGTCAGGTTTTTATTTTTGGCATATGTTTTATCAACTATAGTGTTTTTGTGTCTTCTGTTGACTGCCATCTTCCAGGACTGTGCTGCTTCTAGCAGGAAGTCTAAATATTTCTTTAAAAGGGTCTCTTGTTTCAGGTGCCAGCCAACTCATTATCACCATACATCATCAGCCCATTTTACCCAGACATTGGAACTGAGGGATTTAAAAGTCATTTTGAACAGAGCAGAAAAGAAAAAGTAGCGTATTTCCCCTTCATAGATTTCCATGAATTCCCTGTTTCCTTGTAGTCTTCTGTCTCCAGGAAGCTGAGAGGTTTAGACATTGTATTTTGAAGAGACCATAAAGGAGACACAAATAGATAGTTCTATTTTTTTTCTTTTTCATTAGAGGAGTTTCATTTTGCTTTCTTTGTTTTCCTCTAACAACCAACGTTGTCAATACATCACACCGAAATCATGAAAAACACAAAAATTAAGCTTCAATTTAATTTGGAATAAAATTTGAATTTAAAAGAAGTTTGAATTGCAGCACCCTGTTAATTAGTAAATGGGCATTAATAAATGCCAATCAGGTTTCATGACTGTAAAACAGGAATCCCTGAGTCATATTCTTAGTTCCTTCTGATTAAAACTTTAATAGTAAATCTTAAACTTTTTGACATATACTTGAACACTTTACTAAAAATCAACTAAAGCTCCCATTTGTTTTATTACACATTCTCAAATACTGATCTCATTCTTGATGATTTCTACTCACGTTTCTATTTCACGTTTTTAAAATATATATAGATCTATTTCATATATTTGTCATTTTTAATAACTGTATAGTACAGTTTTTAATGTACAACTAAAATAAATTTTGGTCATTGGGTACAGTGGGCTGTTTTCGCCACCATAGTTTCATTAACGTCAGTCTTAGGTGAGCACAGTAATTAAGAAAGAATGAATACTTTCACATATAGCAACAGAATTTTTATCAGAATTCATTGTAACCCTCAGGTTTCTGTTTTGGATGATACATATTGCAACATTTGAACTTTCTCCATGTCCACATTTCCTGTTCAGGGGAGAAAACAGGTTTAAAATCCATTTAATTCACTAAGGATTCTCAAATGGCAACAGATTATTTTTTCTTCAACTGTTTGACTCTTAATGATTATTGTTGGATTTCTGTCTTGGAATAGATGGGGAAAAAAAGAATCAAGTGATGATTCATGGAATTGAGCCAATGTTGGAAACGCCTCTGCAGTGGCTGAGTGAACATCTGAGTTACCCAGATAATTTTCTTCATATTAGTATCATCCCGCAACCAACAGATTGAAGGATCAACTATTTGCCTGAACGGAATCGCCCTTAAACAGGATTTACCAGAGCATGTCACCCTTCTGCTTCAATCAGGTTTGGTGGAGGCAACCTGACCAGAAACATTGCGCCTGCTGCAAGCCAAACAGGAACAAGATTCCATGTCAGATAAGGCAATTGAGTTGGTCTTATTTTGCATCACCACTGCTTTCCTCCACTGCCGTCAGTAAACCTCAGCCGTGACATGAAAGACTTTACAGGACCACTGCAAGTCTTCTGTTTTCTTGTAAAATATAACGAAGCCGAAACCTTTGGCCTAAGAAGATGTGCCACTTGGTTTGTATTTCTGATTAACAAATAAACAGAGGTATTTCCTAAGGTGACCATAGTTGAACTTTAGCTTGAGACAGTGGAAACATTGGTTTAATTTTCAAGAGAATTAGACTTAAGAAAGTAAAAGAGAAATTCTGTTATCAATAACTTGCAGTAATTTTTTTGTAAACGATTGAATTACAGTAAACCCATCTTTCCTTAATGAAAATTTCCTATGTTTACAGTCTGTCTATTGGTATGCAAACAATCTTGTAACTTTGATAATGAACTGTGAGAGATTTTTAAATAAAGCCTCTAAATATGTTTTGTCATTTAATAACATACAGTTTTGTCACTTTTCAAGTACATTCTGCCTCATATACAGTAGATCACTTTTTACTGTGTGCTGCCATTTTGATTGGTCGTCATTGGCATGGGGTGGATATGGGGCATAGGATTATATGTCTCAGGAGCTGTCATAGAATTTCTCGCTGCCAACTTTAAAATCTGTGTTCTTTACACACTAAAGGTATAAATAATGTAACTGTTTATCTTTGCTGTTTATCATCATAAACCTGTCAAATCATAGTATGCTAAGCACCTGTATAAGATAATTCTGCATTTTTGGAAAATCCCATTCCTTTCCAAGCTAGTGTTTTTCATTGGCTCCAGGTCTAATTTTTCACTGTGGTTCCCTGGCAGCCAGTCTTTGAAGTCTGAAGATTACCTATCTTCTAACTGCAGTAGCTTTTCCTTAATTTTACCAAAAATGTCCAGAGGTTACTGGAGTTCTTACTCAATATAAGGAAGATTTGCTGCACTTTATTACCAAGCTGCTGGGATTTTACCAGTTGAACATATTTGTGCATTACAGTTGGCTTCTTATGAGCTAGCTTGCTGTCCATATTGAATGTTGACCCATTTGAGTATGCTGAGAGACTTATAGTATCATACGATAATGGTTTTAGATTCCATAACAAAAATGAATGTTTTTCTTAAAAAATTATACAAATGTTAAAGTGAGATTCTCCTCATGCTCATTGCTTCCTTTTCTTTTTCCTGTTGGGATTTTCACTGGATAATGATAAATTTATTCACAGAATGAGATGAAGTTGGTCAAAGATCCAGTATTCTGGAATGGCAATTATAAGGCTCAATCAAGATGAATAACATAGGGTACCAATCACAGAAAAATAGAAGCAAGTAGAAAATAATTGGCCAATGTAAATAAAATGAAAAGTGCCATCTTAGTAAAGGCAGGAAAAAAATAGTGATATTTGAGTTACGTAAGGATAAAAAATCCACTGACTTGTATTTTTGCAAAAAGAGTTTGGTCTAAATATGATTGTTCACATTAAAAGTGTTTATTCATCTGTTCGGTTTGGGGATTTTCCCCCTTGATGTTTTGACAGACTGAAGTGAGCTTCAGTGAGCAAAAGGATCAGAATGCCAGGGAGTGCTGAACTGTGATGCAGAAAGTGCGGTAAGGAAGGTGAACCAGGGTAGTTTTCCACAGACGAGACCAGCGTAAGGTCTTTGCAGTGGGCTCAAGTGAACTACTGATCTTCACAGGTTTGAAAGTAAATTTAATCAAGCCATTGCCCACTTTTACTCATTAATTATTATACCAGCATCATAATTTTATTGCTCTAAACCCAGGTAAGTCAAGCCTACAATACACCAGAAGAAGAATAAAACCAGACATTAGTGCTGGCTTAAATATCTATTTTTGTTTCTTTTTATTTGAATATTTAAATTTATTGCTTTATTAAAAAGTTAAATAAATGTTGTGTCTGTCTTTATTTCTGAAAGTTAGGAATGAAATTCATGTAAATTACCTATTGGTGAAATCATAAAAATTTCCTTCATCGTGAACCTGTTTTAAAACTTTCTCAGAGAAATAAGAAGAATGAGGGTTAAAGAAGAACGTATGAAAGAAAACTGAAGAGGGCCACAAATCTCAATATTGTCATTTAACTTATCCTTGGTAAATAGTGACCCTCTAGGAAAATAAAAATGTTTTTAAATTATTGGCATTATAAACTAGGAAGGAGTAAACTCAGGCCAGTTAAAGTAAATCATTGTTTGTCTTTCATAATTTTGATTTTCATTTGGTTGACCTAAGTTTGACCATGGATAGAGTTGAATTGATAAGCACCATGATTTTCTTATCTAAGTGCCCAAAGTAACCTATTCATAATCCAACAAAGTTGACCTATCAGTCTTTATAGTATGCTTATGTATAGATGATATTCCAATCTGAGTGTGAGGTGAATCCGTTTTGTGAACTAGTCTTGTTATGTTTGTCCCATTCACTGGAAACTAGACAGGAGTTGATCATTTTCTAAGAAAACATTTTATAAGATTTGACATTGATTGAGTGACTATAGCTTTTAATGGTTATCTTTATAGGATGTATTTTTTAATAGACTATTTGAGGCAACTTTTTGTCCAGTTTTCAGAAATTTGGTTTATGTGGGTCATGCCAGAGAATGACAGAATCACTGTTTGTTTATCATACTATTGATATTTAGGTCTAAATTGAGTTTCCTGTTGCATGTGCCAATGAAGTATGATATGAAAACCAAGTATGATACTCAGGAATGTTTGGAGCCATTCATTGTCATCACTGGGATGGAGTCAATCAAAATACCTACTTGTGTTTTCTGAGTTATATCATCCTCTTAAATGTTTTCTAAATATATTTGTTGCCTGCTCTGCAAGTATTAAAAATTACAGGGGTAGTAGGGAAAAGGTGGTAGGGAAGGAGAGGCATGCCTCTTTTCAGATCATTTGAGAATAAATGACACTAATTATAAAAATTTATTATGTAGTTTCATTTGACCAAAAGGATCTTTTAAATTCTCTCAAACGTGAATTATAAATTTGATTCTCCACACTTATTAGCAAATGCGTTACTACTATGGAATCTGGTAGGTACAATATAGAAACCAATAGAGTAAAAGACCCAGTTTTTAAATCCTTTAGGTAGTTCATTTAGTATTTAGGTTTTTAAACACATCATTTTTGTTAACTGTTTTAATGTGTTAGTATGATGAACAGAGATAAAGACGAATCTGATGACAAATTGAGGGATATCAGTGTGCTTTGACATGTCAATTGATTCCTTTGAAAGTGACTAGTTTGGCTTTCTCTCTAGCTTCCCCACCTCCAAAGATAAATAAAGTACAACCAGGCTTTTTCCTTTGTTTTCCCCAGTTCTTAGTGGAGTGTCTAGTACATATTTAGTGCTTAGCAAATGTATATAAAATTAAAAAATTAAGGATTGCTTAATGACATCTTAAAATCAATGTTATATTTTTCTGGTGAAAACACCAGCTATAAAAGTAGGAAGAACCTTATCATTTAGAAATCAGTATACAAAGTGCAGTTGGTTTGGGTTGGCATTAGTAATGAAGACTTGCTTACTCAAATCGGCCACTTTCAGTAGGAACCAGTGTGGACCAGATCCTTGCGTCAGTTCACATTCATTTTAGTTGTAGTGTAGACCACAGCACATATCTGGTGTTTCAACATCATTCTAATTTAAGTAGCCCCCAAAGCTGGAGCTATTCTCACTGAGCATCTGGAGGTATTTATTAATTCTGACCTTTCATAAATGAGTAGTTTGTGTCTTGCTTCTGCTTCTAAGACTACTTCTGAAAAATGAGAACTGTTTAATCCAGCATTTCCCAAACTTTCTTGACTATAGAATCATTTTTCTCCTAGTATCTCAACATCCTATTGAACTCTTGCTTGGGAAATGCTACATTAAATCAGCAGATCCTAATGGCCTAGAGTTTATAGCATAAATCTTATTCTTCCCTTTCTGACAACCCTGGCCATGTTGAAGAAGTTTGCAAGCTTCTGACTCATCTCCAGACAAAATAGGTCTAGTCTGTTCATTCCTTCCTCCAGATGTGTCCCATTTTGTCAGTGTCACTCTTGAAATTCATTCACCAAATGTATACTGAGTATGTAATACATGCCAAGTAATGTGCTACGTGCAGGGAATGCAGTGGTTTAGATTTTTGTAATGCCAATATTGGGTGCACAGTCTGGCTGCTCAGCAGTGCCGTAATCTGATGGACCACATCCAGAGTAAGATTTAGTGAGAGGGCTGGGAACTAACCACAAGTTCTCTTCACAGAACATCCGTACAAATATAAAAACTATGCCAAGTGGCCAATGGATTGAAGAAAGCCCCTTTTCAATCGTTAGGTATGACAGTAGGAGTTAAAGGTGTATATTTGCTCTCAGGGAGTCACCTTAAAGCTAGCCAAGAGAGCCATGGAGCTGAAATATGACATACTTTGAAAATTTTATCACCAAAAGCCCTAAATAGAGTGCAGCTAAGGTCAAGCAGAGAGGGTCTGACTTCACAGGTAGGTGGTTTTCTGTGGCACTGGCACATGCAGCAGGTATTTATGATCTCTGGCTAGATACTGTACTTGTTTAGATGTGATAACTTTGTCTTTTAGTGTTGTCTAGTGAGTATTTTCCAAATAAGTTATGTTGCTAAAAGTTTACATCCATAAGTTGTGATTTGATATTCTTATTACTTAAAACTTGGGTTTTAGCTTTGTTTTACAAAGATGATAACTAATTGAACTGGATTTGAACTCTATGATTTTGTACAAGCCTAGGGAAAATTTTTATCCCCTCAACGCCAGTCTTTTTCTGGGTATGCCATCTCAACCACATCTCCCTGAAGAGTTTGGTCATTCTCAGAGCCTATGTTTCTGTAGCTCCTTCTGTCGTTGTTTTGAAATTTATTATCATGTAATATGAAATGTCAGCTTATCTTGATGTCTCTGATGTATTGATGTTGATATTCAAGTGTGACAGAGAAAGTTATTGATGTTTGAAGTATCATTATGTCCCAGAGCCAACATTAAAAGGTGAAAGAGCAAATCAGGTAAAAGCTAAATAATTGTTGGACTGGGTAGTGCATGAGACATTGGAGTAAAAAGAATAGAAACGCCAGATGGGTTTGATTAGCAATAGTCCATCTTAGATGTATGGTGGACATCTTTCATTCTAGGCAGAACGAAACCCACACATTAGTCTTAATGGAGAACATTTTAGAACATCTCAATAATTGCAAGTGCTGTATTAAATTTTCCTAGATTTTAACAGAATCCCACATGATCCATTTGTTCTTTCAAACATTAATTGAGCAAATAAGGTAGTGGATGTTCTAGAAGGAACAAGACAGTCACTGACCTTAAGGAACCTCTATAAGAGGAGAGAAGACACAAATAACTATACAACCTAAAACTTGGAAATTGCAGTGAGAAAGGTACAAATAAAGCACTGTGAGGAAATAGAGCCCAGAGGACAATTTACTTTGAACTAACTTAGATGATACCTTGCTTGGCCTCTCAGCAGCATTTGACAGTTGGTCACACCTTGTTTCATTCTTGAAACACTTTCTTCACTGGACACCACACCCTCCTGATTTTCCTCCTGCCTCAGCACCTTTCTCAGTTTCCTGTGATTCTTTTCTGCTTTACTCCTAAATGTTGAAATGTCCCAGGGCTCAGTCTGCTTCTCTTTCTCTTGCTGCATTCAGTACATGAATTCCATGGCTTTTAACATCCTTCATGTGTTCTCTCCAATATTAACCTCTCCCCTGAGCTGCAAACTTAATACTCAGCCACCTACCTGACATTCATTTCAAATGTGTTATAGTTCAGATTTTTTTTGTCAAAGCAGAACTCTTGATTTCTCTCTCTCTCTCTCTCTCTCACACACACACACACACACACACCTGTACCTCTCCCATTCCATCCCATCTTAAGAAATGCTACCCAGTCCCAAAACCTAGCATTTTCCTCTTTAATTCTTCTCTTCTCACCCACACCATATCCATTAGCGAGTCCTAATGAATCTGCCTTAAAATATACCCTGAATATCCCTACTTGTTACCATCTTCGCTGCTACCACATTTAAGTCTAGGCAGCCAACCATCATCTCTCACCTGGACTACTACAGT